CCAAAGTCGCCCTAAAACCTTATCTACCTACCTACCTACCTAAACACTGTAAACAAGCTATTGGATGAGGCCCTACAGTTGCAAACCTTTTTTTGCTACTAAATTATGAGCTTGATTTTGTCATATCATCCATTATTAAGTTATGAACTTATATATTTTAATGGGGTTTTTTATCTTTTATTTCCCAGATGTTCGAGTACATAATGTCATACATGTTCATGAAGTTGCGTATTTACAAAGGGAAACAACTCCCAACTTAGAGTATTGACTGTACTGAGTTGTCAAAAAGGTCACAGTCCTTATGGGACATTGACTGACTGAGTTTAGTTTTACGCCGCTTTTAGTAATATTCCAGCAATATCACGGCGGGGGACACCAGAAATGGGCTTCACCAAGGAGTTTTGTTTGTGTGCTGACAGAACATCACAAGATATCATCGTCATCCATTCTCACACAGGTCGGACACCATCCTAGTGATGTGATCTTTAACTTGCCCCTAACTGGTCACATGACTGTTGGCTATCTATGCTGTCTATACCTGTAATTTAGCTGTACATGGGGATATGGGATGGTTAGATCCCCAGCTCAGACTGTACCTGGGGATATGGGATGGGTATTCTGTGTGACGAGCCAACGCTTTAACCACTAGGCTACCCCACCGCCCCCTTAATGGGACACATTTTGATGTCATCATCTGAACATGTTTTTTTGTCAATTATGTTTCTCCCAAATAGCTTGATGGATTCAGCTGTAATATGGGTTTTTTTTCACGAAAGTACACAATTTGTTCATAGCATCTAAATTGGAAGTTTGATATGCTTGACAAAAATTGACAAAATATTCTTCTGACCAAACTTTAAAGGGCCTGAGTTTGTCAACATTGCATCACGAGTATGACACTCTCATGTAGCACGATGCTTCTTGCATCTGGAAGTAATCACAAAGATATTGCATCACGAGTATGACACACTCCATGTAGCACGATGCTTCTTGCATCTGGAAGTAATCACAAAGATATTGCATCACGAGTATGACACACTCAATGTAGCACGATGCTTCTTGCATCTGGAAGTAATCACAAAGATATTGGTCTGATTTTTAAAAGCATAAATACATGAAAGGTGGTGCAAAGTTGGACACTGCCATTGTGTTTAGGTCTTGTAAAGGAAATTAAATCCATGTATTATTAATTGTGTGCATATGCAGGGCCAGAAATACTGCAAGGTGATTATTATGAAAAACTGTCATAAAAGTATATGGAATCATTATAGTAAATAGAATCACTATAAATTTCTAAAAACTTGCTGTTCCAAAAATACAGCTTACATCGAGTCTGTTATTTCTGTAACTCATTTGGAATGAGATTATGATCATGGTGTAGCAGATGGGGAATGTTAGAGTGAGAAAACTTAATATGGGTGAAACGGTACGCTCTTACCACGGTACGCTATGTATCATGTAGTGTACAGTCACAGCGAGGACTTTCTCTGACTGTTTGTGTCAGGTCCTGTAAGACCTCATTTCACCTGGACTCTCATCATCAGCCTTCTGTCTATAAATAGTTTGTTTAGTCACTGACTGTTAAAGGGAAAGTAAGACTCAAATACAGTACATGGTATGCTTTGTATGAGTTGGGAAGGGTTATGTTGCTATATACAGTACATGGTATGCTTTGTATGAGTTGGGAAGGGTTATGTTGCTTTATGGTTAACGTGTTTCCCAGTGCTGATGTGATATATACCTGTGATACTGTATTGGACAGGGCAAGTTGTGGAGGCGTGACACAGACTGCAGTTCTTTGTGTATATAGTCATATCTGTTACATTATTGATGGCATGAATGGAGCGTTATATTGAGGGAGACTGGAGTTGTGGCAGTATAGTGAGGGGGATTAGGTGCTTTGTTGATGGATTCTGAAGTCAATGTTCGATTTTCTTATGACTCATTGTCAGTTGTAGTGAGACGGCCTCCCAACAGACGCATGGCAATAGTAGCTGAGTAATCACTTGTAGTGAGACGGCCTCCCAGTAGATGCATGGCAATAGTAGCGGAGTAATCAGTTGTAGTGAGACAGGCCTCCCAACAGATGCATGGCAATCGTAGCTGAGTAATCAGTTGTAGCTAGACACACCTTCCACTAGATGCATGGCAATAGTAGCTGAGTAATCAGTTGTAGTGAGATGGCCTCCCAGTAGATGCATGGCAATAGTAGCTGAGTAATCAGTTGTAGTGAGATGGCCTCCCAGTAGATGCATGGCAATAGTAGCTGAGTAATCAGTTGTAGTGAGATGGCCTCCCAGTAGATGCATGGCAATAGTAGCTGAGTAATCAGTTGTAGTGAGATGGCCTCCCAGTAGATGCATGGCAATAGTAGCTGAGTAATCAGTTGTAGTGAGATGGCCTCCCAACAGATGCATGGCAATAGTAGCTGAGTAATCAGTTGTAGTGAGACGGCCTGCCAACAGATGCATGGCAATAGTAGCTGAGTAATCAGTTGTAGTGAGACAGGCCTCCCAGTAGATGCATGGCAATAGTAGCTGAGTAATCAGTTGTAGTGAGACGGCCTCCCAGTAGATGCATGGCAATAGTAGCTGAGTAATCAGTTGTAGTGAGATGGCCTCCCAGTAGATGCATGGCAATAGTAGCTGAGTAATCAGTTGTAGTGAGACGGCCTCCCAATAGATGTATGGCAATAGTAGCTGAGTAATCAGTTGTAGTGAGACAGGCCTCCCAACAGATGCATGGCAATAGTAGCTGAGTAATCAGTTGTAGTGAGACGGCCTCCCAATAGATGTATGGCAATAGTAGCTGAGTAACCAGTTGTAGTGAGACAGGCCTCCCAGTAGATGCATGGCAATAGTAGCGGAGTAATCAGTTGTAGTGAGACAGGCCTCCCAGTAGATGCATGGCAATAGTAGCTGAGTAATCAGTTGTAGTGAGATGGCCTCCCAACAGATGCATGGCAATAGTAGCTGAGTAATCAGTTGTAGTGAGACGGCCTCCCAACAGATGCATGGCAATAGTAGCTGAGTAATCAATTTCTGATGGAACTGTATTAGTTTTAAGTCGTTTACAATGTGAAAACAGGGGGGTTATATCATACGCTATTTTTCCAGAAAAGTGTTTGTAGTACTGTTTAAGAGGCATTCTAGAAGTTGATATAATAGGAATGACAAGACTTTATAGATGGTCAACTTCTTTTTAATGCAATAGCGACATTTTGGTATAGATACAGTTTTCAAGCATGAAAACTACTGCATAAGTATCTACAGTCAGGCCTCGTTAATACGAACACTTTGGTTTCTGTAAAAAAACGTTTGGATAGTGAAACGTTCGTACTGCTGAAACCACAGTATATGCACCGAGTTACTTCCCCTTGATATCAAAGAAATCAAAACAAAACATCAAAGACAATCACTGGATTTATTACACATTGTTTCACTCACACATTTTACTTACGAAAGTAGTATTTAATTATGGGCTGGCAGCTTCCCCCTGATAATTTTGTTTCTTAATTTGATGAAGAGATTTGAAGCGGTAAAGCCAACCGCGAGAATAACCAAAATCACTGATTCCTAATTTTGAGCCCAATTCCATGCCTTTCTCAGTTAACATTTGGTCATTCACTGAAGCATTTTTTGTGTTCATTTCTGTCATCCAAACATAAAGTGCTTCCTCTAATTTGGCATGTTTAGCATTTCGTTCTCTTGTGAGAGATAGAGAATCTTCCGAAATATTTAGCCACTTATCCTTACTTTTCCAAATGTCCGAAACAGTAGTTTTGCCGACAGAATGACCGAATTCTTCGCCAAAATGTTTACTTAAGAAATCGAAACTGGCTTTAGGATTTCTTTCTTTGTATAGGCAAATTTCCCTCTTTGAGAGACGCAGTAATTTCAGCTTTACTTTAGCAGGTTGGTTAGCCATAGTGAAAATGCATTGATTTGTGAAATGTTTACCCGTACATATTTATAGCAGAAGATTTTAACAACACACATTGACACTTCTCACTCAATATATTTGGAGTAAAAGTTGTTAAAGTGTTAACTGGACTGGTTAGGCTTTGTGATAAAGGGATCAAGGGATCAAAGGGATGAATCGCTAAGTCGCTAAACAAACCATGTGTCACTTTGGGCGGGCCAGTCGGCAGCGCGGTCAACTTCAATCGTTCGGATTAACGCAGCTGTTTACAACTTAATTAGTCCAATCCGTTCTGACTGACCAGCATTCGGAGGCGGAAGCTGAATCATCGGACTAACGAGGTGTCAATTGTATACAATATATAGGGAGATGGTTTGGTGCCCAGTGAGTATCGTTCGGAAGTCGGGGGATTCGGATTAACGAGGACCGGATTACCGCGGCCTGACTGTATACGGAAACGTTGCTATTGCACAATAAAGAAGTTGCTCATCCATAAAGACTTGTCATTCCTCCTTCTAGTGTGTTTGTTGATGTTTAAGTCATTCTTTCAATCACTGATGTAACTTGGGACACTGTGTGTGATTATAACGATAGAGAGAAGGCCCCAAATATCATATTGTGTCAGAAGATTTGAAGCCTTGTGTTGAGAAACATCCACACTGTGAACCTTGCCAAATAGCTGAATTATAATTGCTGTGTGCACTCACTCACTTCCACACTGTGAATCTTGTAACCTTAATGTAAACCAGCATTTCATTTACAGTATTACAGTACTTTACAGTACTATACAGTATCAAAGCTTATGTTGGTCAGAGAAACATCCACACTGTGAACCCTGCCATATAGCTCAAATATTGCTGAGTGCGGCGTAAAACTAAACTCACTCACTCACTCCACACTGTGAATCTGCACTGTGGTCACACACTGCAAACCTTTGTTTAAAAACACATTCATACTCTTATCTATGTATTTCCCAAAGCAATATATAAATGACTCTATAGTATGTTGAAATGTAGACCACCGTGTTATAAGGAAATGCCTGAATGATGTATGTAATACTTTGGACTTTGTGATTTCAGATGGAACATGACCAGGGTACAGAATAGGCCAGGATGACTGGTTCCTCCATGCCTCCTGATCACGGGGCCTTGACCTTGTCAGGTCACATCAGCAATCACAGGTGGAGTATGTCTGGATGCATGATACTGTATCCTTTGTGTATATTATGGGCAAATATTAAACATTGCACTTTCTGTGACATTCTGAAAGGTAAAGGAGCCTAATTCATTAGATTTATCAAGTTCGTACAATGCATTATCTATAGAATTCTTATTATCTGTAATATTCTTTTCTAAAAGTTACACATAATGACAGCTTGGCACCCTTGTTTTTATGCCTTGGACACCCAAAATGTACAACATTATCATATTTCTGCCATTGCATAGCCAAGTATCTGCCACCACACATGTTCTTGTCATGTGACAGTTGCCATGACTACCCAGTACAGGTTGTACTTGGCGCAGGGTAGACACAAGATTTATTGACATTATATCAGGAAGAAATCCTGTCAAAGGTTTCATCTAAACAAAAGAATATTCAAAAGGGTCAGTTTGAATTTGGAGGTGTTTGATAGCAACAGGTCATAAAGTTATAGTTGAAATATTTCCTGCTGGCACACTGACCTGGGACAGGAAATAGATACTCTGATACAACTCATTTGCTCCTTTATATCACAGGTTTACTGAGTAACATGAATTTGTGTCAATATTCATGGCAGTCCTCAACATCTTACCCCAGAATTGTAAAATACATTATGATATTGTACACTGTTTCAATCACTGGATTGTCTTGTAAAAATTTGATTACAGACGTTATGTCATCATATTGCTGGAATAGTGTGTGGCATTAAAGAACGTGCACACACACACTGAGACAACACTACACAGTACATGCCTGGCTGTAATCGATCTACCGCCGGCCTGCATGTCAACACATTGCTATGGTATACAATGTTGAAGGGAGTCATGCAGAAGCACGGCTTGTGTATTTCTGAAACATGAAAGAAATACCAGAGTATGCAGGGGAATATTTCTCACAGCTACAAAATGCTTATAATAGACAACAGACTTTTCCAGCAATTTTTAGGTCTATAAACCTCCATGTAATCCAGATAACGGCTGTATTTCTTCACCATATCTTCTAACTTAGATTGGGGCAGTGGGGTAGCCTTGTGGTCAAAGCGTTCGCTTCTCACGCTGAAGACCTGGGTTCCATTCCCCACATGGGTACAATGTGTGAAACCCATTTCTGTTGTCCCTGCCGTGATATTGCTGGAATATTGCTAAAAGGGGCGTAAAACCCAACTCACTCAAACTAAGATCAGGGGCGGTGGGGTAGCCTAGTGGTTAAAGTGTTGGCTCGTCACGCCGAAGACCCGGGTTCGATTCCCCACATGGGCACAATGTGTGAAGCCCATTTCTGGTGTCCCCCGTTGTGATATTGCTGGAATATTGCTAAAAGCGGCGTAAAACTAAACTCAGTCAGTCAAACTAAGATCAACCTTTGTATACTGATATTGACCACTGTTAATATATTCACATTGCAAACTGTATTACAGGCCACTGGGCCCACATTACGAATTAAACTCGTCTGTCTGTCTGTCTGACTGCTTGTGTAGCTGCTCAGTATTGGGTGTCAAACAATGTTTGACTGCTGTGAATTTTGTTTATTGTCGCATTCAGCAATATTTTATGTACATCCCTACAACATTCATTTTTCGAATAAACATCCTCTGACCAAATTGTTGGTAATTTATATAAGCTCGCCCCTTACAAGGACTGAATATTGAAATCACAGTCCATATTACATGGTTTTGTCATTGATGTTGGAACTAAGCTTCTCTTTATTATGGAAAATACAATAATTCTTCCAATTAATCAGGACCCTTGGAACACAGAAAAAACAAAATATCATGAGCTCACTTCATGATTCATGGCCAAAGGTTCCCAGTCATGACAACCAGCTCATCTTCAGTACGTTCTGTGACAAAACCTGACAAATGTACAAAGCTTATGATGTTCAGGCTCACCTTGTATCTCCCATTTCTGCAAGGGATGATGAGCGTGAAGTGATCATCGGGTGATTATGTACAACCAGCACCGGCCCCATGCTCATTGCAAGCTTGAGTGATGACACCACGTCCAACAATACATCAGTTACATCACAGCCTGTTGACTTATGTGGGCAGAATATGGGTTTTACACATTGTCCCCATGTTGGGAATTGAACCTGGGTTTTCTACGTGACAAGCAAATGCTTTAACCACTAGGTTACCCAATTTGTCAGGTGTAACAGCTATAAAGACATAGAGCCCATGTAGCACAAGCATTTCATTTATTTCGTATGAAAACAATTGCATATTAGCAAATATGAAGTAAACATTAAATTCACTAAAACCAATGCATGAAATACAAAACAAGATAAATGCATATAATTGAGATCTTGTGCAGCTTGAATATTTACAGGTGGTTGTTCCACTGGTTCAAATTACAAATGATATCTGAAGTTGGCCAAATAACTATTAGTACGACACTACATCGGACTGGAACATTTCTGACAATCAACATATACAATCCAGTTAATACTGCTGTTAGTGGGGACACAATGGATGTAGATGAATGCTAGGATATGCTGTTCATAAGGATTCCTTCAACATAATCAAATGTACATATGGTTTCCCTCAACACGATCAAATGTACATATGGTTTCCTTCAACATGATCAAATGTACATATGGTTTCCTTCAACATGATCAAATGTACATATGGTTTCCCTCAACACGATCAAATGTACATATGGTTTCCCTCAACATGATCAAATGTACATATGGTTTCCTTCAACATGATCAAATGTACATATGGTTTCCCTCAACACGATCAAATGTACATATGGTTTCCCTCAACATGATCAAATGTACATATGGTTTCCTTCAACATGATCAAATGTACATATCGTTTCCTTCAACATGATCAAATGTACATATGGTTGTCTTCAATATGATCAAATATACATGTCGTTTCCTTCAACATAATCAAATGTACATATGGTTTCCCTCAACACGATCAAATGTACATATGGTTTCCTTCAACATGATCAAATATACATATCGTTTCCTTCAACATGATCAAATGTACATATGGTTGTCTTCAATATGATCAAATATACATATCGTTTCCTTCAACATAATCAAATGTACATATGGTTGTCTTCAATATGATCAAATATACATATCGTTTCCTTCAACATGATCAAATGTACATATGGTTGTCTTCAATATGATCAAATATACATATCGTTTCCTTCAACATGATCAAATGTACATATGGTTTCCCTCAACACGATCAAATGTACACATGGTTTCCTTCAACATGATCAAATGTACATATGGTTTCCTTCAACATGATCAAATGTACATATGGTTACCTTCAACATGATCAAATGTACATATGGTTACCTTCAATATGATCAAATGTACATATGGTTACCTTCAGTATGATCAAATGTACATATGGTTACCCTCAACATGATCAAATGTACATATGCTTTCCTTCAACATGATCAAATGTACATATGATTACCCTCAACACGATCAAATGTACATATGGTTACCCTCAACACGATCAAATGTACATATGGTTACCTTCAACATGATCAAATGTAAATATGGTTACCCTCAACACAATCAAATGTACATATGGTTACCCTCAAGACGATCAAATGTACGTATGGTTACCCTCAACGCGATTAAATGTGCATATGGTTACCCTGAACATGATCAAATGTACATATGGTTACCTTCAACATGGTCAAATGTACATATGGTTACCCTCAACGCGATCAAATGTACATATGGTTTCCCTCAACACGATCAAATGTACATATGGTTTCCTTCAACATGATCAAATGTACATATGGTTACCTTCAACATGATCAAATGTACATATGGTTACCTTCAACATGATCAAATGTACATACGGTTACCTTCCACATGATCAAATGTACATATGGTTTCCATCAACATGATCAAATGTACATATGGTTTCCTTCAACATGATCAAATGTACATATGGTTACCTTCAACATGATCAAATGTACATATGGTTTCCTTCAACATGATCAAATGTACATATGGTTACCTTCAATATGATCAAATGTACATATGGTTACCTTCAGTATGATCAAATGTACATATGGTTACCCTCAACATGATCAAATGTACATATGCTTTCCTTCAACATGATCAAATGTACATATGATTACCCTCAACACGATCAAATGTACATATGGTTACCCTCAACACGATCAAATGTACATATGGTTACCTTCAACATGATCAAATGTAAATATGGTTACCCTCAACACAATCAAATGTACATATGGTTACCCTCAAGACGATCAAATGTACGTATGGTTACCCTCAACGCGATTAAATGTGCATATGGTTACCCTGAACATGATCAAATGTACATATGGTTACCTTCAACATGGTCAAATGTACATATGGTTACCCTCAACGCGATCAAATGTACATATGGTTACCTTCAACATGATCAAATGTAAATATGGTTACCCTCAACATGATCAAATGTACATATGGTTACCCTCAACACGATCAAATGTACATATGGTTACCCTCAACACGATTAAATGTGCATATGGTTACCGTCAACACGATGAAATGTGGATATGGTTACGTCAACACGATCAAATGTGCATATGGTTACCCTCAACACGATCAAATGTACATATGATTAACCTCAACACGATCAAATGTTCATATGGTTACCCTCAACACAATCAAATGTACATATGGTTACCCTCAATACGATCAAATGTACGTATGGTTACCTTCAACAGAATCAAATGTACATATGGTTACCTTCAACACAATCAAATGTTCATATGGTTACCCTCAACACGATCAAATGTACGTATGGTTACCTTCAACAGAATCAAATGTTCATATGGTTACCTTCAACAGAATCAAATGTACATATGGTTACCTTCAACAGAATCAAATGTTCATATGGTTACCCTCAACATGATCAAATGTTCATATGGTTACCCTCAACACGATCAAATGTACATATGGTTACCCTCTACATGATCTAAAAGTATGTATAGATTTCCTTCAGCTTGATTTAATGTAAATGCTTCAATGATCAACATGATCAAATTGAGATGCGTCTGCCACCAGCCTGATCAAAATGAATTGCCCTTAACACTAGCATGATGTAAGTGCATTTAAAACCAAACATGATGCAATGCAATCGCATTCAACGTCAACTTAATTAAAGAAAAGATATGATAAAATGTCTGAATTAACCATGAACATGATCGAATGTCGATGGATTTTACAAAAATGTATATGGTAGCATGATGAAATGTTAATTCATTTACCGATGTGATAAAATTAATAGCATTTAGAATGATTTTTAATGTAATTGCATTTATTATGATTGTAATCAAATGTAAATATATTTTTAACAAAAGCATGATGACATGTTAATACATTAGACCTCAACGTGCTAAGATATATTATTGTGCATTTAGAGCCAAATATTATTGAATGTAAGTGCACACAGCACCAAGATGATCATCTGTAAAATGTAAATGCATTTCCACTAGCATAAAAATAAAGTCCACGTAGCGTCATCATGATCAAATGTGGATGCATTTAGCACGATCAAATGTGGATGCATTTAGCATGATCATACATGAATTCATTTAGCATCAGCATGATCAAATTACCATGTTTACATGTAGCTTGATCAAATGTACAGTCCGTTTGAGTCAGAAACGGACCGATGAATTGCAAATTTTATCATTGTATAAAATTGCCACATAAATATAAATAGTACACATGTTTATCATTTACTAATACCCAACAGCTTTCTTATATTTGAAAATTTTCTGGACTCCAACAAAAAAGTTCTTTCAGAAACTATCATTAAAATTTTGACACAGTTCACTATTTGTTACGAGGGAGGAGTGCAGAGAAAGGGACAGCCAGGTGTTAGAGAAGCACGTGCACAATTGCCCACCAAGTTATTGATTCATTAGCCTGTGCTGTGCCGTGCCGTCTCCATCCTTTCTCGCACACCTGGCTGTCCCTTTCTCTGCACTCCTCCCTCGTAACAAATAGTGAACTGTGTCAAAATTTTAATGATAGTTTCTTAAAGAACTTTTTTGGTGGAGTCCGGAAAATTTTCAAATGTAAGAAAGCTGTTGGGTATTAGTAAATGATAAATATGTGTACTATTTCTATTTATGTGGCAATTTTATACAATGATAACATTTGCAATTCATCTGTCCGTTTCTGACTCAAACGGACTGTAAATGCATATATAACTAGCACTATCAAAAGTAAGTAAACACATTCAGCATGATCATTATGAAATGTAAGTCAATTATACATCGACATGAACAAATATGACTGCATTTAATACCATGTTCAAATATAAAAAAATGTCAAACTTCCACAGCATACATAAAAATATTTCACAAAATAATGTGCAGCACAAGTATTCTTGTTCAACTGTACGAATGATAAGACCAACATAACAATCATATTTTCTGAAAATACATTAAATACAAACATTAAGTGTTAATGCATTTTACACCAGCATGACCGGATGCAAATGCACTAAGTACAAGCGTGGTCAGTTTCTGTGAGTGAGTGAGTTTAGTTTAACGCCGCACTCGGCAATATTCCAGCTATATGGCGGCAGTCTGTAAATAATCGAGTCTGGACCAGACAATCCAGTGATCAACATCATGAGCATCGATCTACACAATTGGGATACGATGACATGTGTCAACCAAGTCAGCGAGCCTGACCACCCGATTCCGTTAGTCGCCTCTTACGGCAAGCTTGGATTACTGAAGATCAATTCTAACCCTGATCTTCACGGTTTGAGAACATTTAAGCAGCTGCACAGTGTGATCACCCATATTGTAATAACATTGGTAATATGAAACCTTGTCCATACTAATGTGACGCGGAGATGTTGACAAATGAAAGGGTAAAATATTTAGTATACGTTATGACCAGTCTGCATAACTACAGTGATAATTTAAGGCAGATGCAGTGTACTTAAGGCATATTCAGTTATCCGGTCCAAAAGGTGTCCAGTACGCACTTTAATGTAATATTTTAGGGATAAGTTCATTAGGAAAACATATAATTCCAAAGGATGACACATACTACACTGACGTAATCAATTCAGAGCCATCTTTGCGTTGTGCTTTACGTAATCGCAATATTCCAGCTTTATGACGGCGGCCTGTAAACTAACGCGCCTCGACCTGACAATCCAGTGATTTATATCACGCAAAGCAACCTTTTTGATATCAACATACATCAGCGAAGATGGCGAGCCTGACATTAGGGTGCCGTCAGTCGCGTCTCAGGACAAGCTACGTAGGTGCCCAGCCCTTCCGGGGGTTCATTGTGTATTTTATCACCAATGCATGGAATAGAAAGCATAATCACAAGATGGATGTCTACGGTGGATGTCGTACATCGAGAATACTACACGAGGTCTCGTTACGAATTATACGAAACGAGTGTCCTTCCTATTGTATCTGACCGGGCGAAAGTGAGGTCAGAAACCTTAGGAAGGTCACGAGTTTCGTATACTTCGTATTAGACTAATGCTTAGTCTCTGAATATATATAATTTTGATAGTAACAAACAAGCCCATTTAAATTGAAAAGGAGCCCCAGGGAGTCCAGAGTTTCAGAGACTAAGAACATCTGTATTGGGGCTACACGTGCTGGGGTCATTACCAATTAGAAGTCACATCATACAACCATCAGATAACGGTATAAGTGACAGGCATATTTATTGGCCCTCCTGTTAAGCCATCTCCTATCTCTATGCTGTCATCACCTCATGTGGGCCAGTCAAGACCCCCTACTGCCTAACATTTAACAGTTTGGAAACTTGCAGCCCACACTGTCACTTGGAGACTAGATGACCAAGGTGCAAGATCTATCTGGAACACCAACAAAATTATTTATGAATTTGAACTCAAAATCCAAAAGTTTCCATTTGTATGATCTGCAAAGAGGATATAGATAAACCCCTGTTTTGAAACAAACTGTTCAATGGAAGTGAAAAGGCCAGCGTCTGTCTTATGCTTGAAGATGTTCTGGATATTTCTACAAACTAGATCATCCTCACTACATTTCACCTTGCATGCTTCAATCACATCACACAGGTAAACAGATTTAATTCCGAGATGCTGTGCCATTTCAATTTGGTTCTTCATGAGTAGGCGACTAACGGGGTCGGGTGGTCAGACTCTCTGATTTGGTTGTCACATGTCATCGTATCCCAATTGCGTAGATTGATGCTCATGCTGTTGATCACTGGATTGTTTGGTCCTGACTCGATTATTTACAGACCGCCCCCATACGTGGAATATTGCTGAATGCGGTGTAAAACCAAACTCACTCACTCTTCATGATACCACAGTTACTGTTGCTTCGTTTGTTTTGTGAGTTCTGTTTCTGAAACAAATCCTGGCATATGAACAAAGGAGCGACAGTAATGCCTTGATGAAATCAATCAGCTTGAACCTGTGCACAAATAGGTCGCCATATGTTGACACAGAGTTTTACTGCAGAGCAATTAGATAAAGTGAGATACTCAAAACACAACAGAGTTTCACACAATATTCCTATACCAGGAACAAAAAAATAATCCTTGTTTTAATTACAATTAAAACCCTAATCACATTAACAATTGGGCTGCTATGTGTGGTCCAAAGTCAGGCAAGGAAACAAATACTGTTTACAACATAACATCCAGGAAGAACCTTTCCCCAAGATTTTGCTTGATTTGTCTCTTCAAGACCAGAAACTGTGCACAAGGCCTCCACAAAAGCTTCATGTCACCCAATGTGCTTGTTAATTAAGAGCTGACTGATGAAAATGTGAGGCAAGATTCCAGACCACTGGTGAGGATGTTGGTCCAGCCAGCCATGGTAGTTAGATATGTTTACTTTGTAACCCGACCCCTAAAGTTAGTTTTCTTGCAGATGTTAACAGAACCTGAACCTGAGAAAATCTAGACTTACTTTATTTAGGGCTTTAGCACTGCAGAGAGGCTTTGCAGTGGGGAAAATAATGTGGTTCAGGGACTGTGAGACAGACTAACTTCGTATGTAATGTGACCGAGTGTTGTATTTTATATATTACCCACGTCTTCCATGCATTAAATTGACACAATAGCGTATTTTTGTTATTGTTATGGTTTCAAACCGAAACCGGTTTCATAAAGTTGTTGCGGAAGAATTTTTTTGCATGACGTCACACTGTATTTGACGTCACTACGCCATTCTCGTCTGTCCCCTTGGTAACCGACGTCACGATGCATGTCAGTTGTCATCGCCTCGTATAGCCTCATACAGTAAACTACTCCGTAGCACCCCTTATCTTGGTTGCAATTGCTTCACTCGGCTAACATCACTGGTGGAAACATTGCGTTTATGTTTTTCGGCGGATATAATGTCTCAATTCGAGTCACAATTAAACAGCGACGCGGCAACGTTCGCAATGTTTACATTCCCAGAATGCATCTAAGTTGTAGAATGAATTAATTCACGTGTTCGATATGAATGAACAAGTAGTTCCGTCACAACGTGATCTAACTGAGAGGTCATCGGTTATCCAATCAAATCGTTAGAATCTCAGGTCAAGTCGTTAAGACACAGGTCAACGTGATACGACACTCGTGTGACGTACGAGATTAGCATATGCAATTACCCATACGTTGACCACGTGGTTAATAAATGCTAATACTTCATGTGTACATCTCTTAGCAAGGGTCCTTTCACTACTAAAATACCTGTTTTATGTTTTATTCACAACTATATTAACTTTTGACCGAATTCATACCGTTAACAACTGTGAGTCAAAATACATTGTGTCGCTGAGATTAAGCAGCCATTTATAAAATGCAAGTTTGCCTTCCAAGCAGCATAAATAGGGCTGCACGAACTCAACCTTGAATACAGTGGAACCAGTGTTGTGGACCCTGAGTTTTGAATGGTCCTATGACAGTGAAAGCACCAACGGTAATCGTGCCAGTTGAAGGCGCAGTTGATAATTTTCGATATATATATATATATTTCATTTATAAAATAATCATATATTAGAGATATTATTTGTGGATACCGTTCCACATAACGCTGGCAGATGAAGATTTTTTTAGAGGAAACCCTGATAATGCGTGTGAATATTCTTACAGTAGTAGAGAAAGGTAAACTTACTGGAATCCTCCATGCCTGTAGTAGTACCCATAAACCGTGGTCACAAACGTACTGTCCGTACGATATTACTAAATCAGCAAAGAGTCCGAGGATTTCAGTCGAATCCATGAACCAGATTTGTTAAGCTTTAATCAGTAGGTCTTCATTTCCACCTGGTTGTGAATGGGGAACCAGTTTGATGGCCAAAATGTGCAGGTTTGTCTTCTACACAGGATCATGTTAGATATAACTCTCGTCTGACCTCCATTGTTCCGAAAATAAAAAAGATTTTACCTGTTTAGTTTTGTGTTTAGTCTAACTACTCTTTTCAAGGTAATGTACATTATTCCAGTACATCTTAACCATGAAAACAAAACCTGTTTAATTTTCGAGTGGATCTTCATTCGCAGAAGTTCTGCCCTTCCTCAACCTCCCAGAGTTTGTCCGGCAGCTGTGGCCCGGGGGTGAGGGAGAAGTCTATCTCCTCATACACCACAGGCTCCTCCTTCCTGTGTACGACGAACGTACCGTCAACCAGGGGAGGTTCCACAAGGTCAAGGTCAGCGTAGATAAGACCATCGGCATTCTGAAAGTTGAACTAATTGATGAGTATTGTTAATATGGAAAATGACTTATCATTTCTATGGGAAACCAGGTATTCGTTATGAAAACAGCTACAAATAGGCAGTTCGTACTTAACGTCAAGTCCATAAAATAACCTCGATTGCCGGACGATCCAGATATCATTTGACGTCACATTACTGAAAATCGGTGATGACAATCGGTATGTTTGTTGTGAAGCGAAGGCAAATCGGACAATCACGTAAAGAACCAAACATCGACTCCTTCGAGAGAATATTAATTGATCTGGTTTTGAATAAAACTATAAATGAGTGAATTTCGATTTAAGCCGCCTTTAGCAATATTCCAGCAATATCACGGCAAGGGACACCACAAAATGGGGCTTCACACATTGTGCCCATGTGGGGAATAGAACCCGGATCTTCGGTGTGACAAGCAAACGCTTTCACCCTACCGGCCCATTAAACCATGAAAGCGATATGTTAATTCTGAGTGCCTTCTTTGTACAGTTGTTGCGGTTCTGTCGACTCTTGACGCCCTCAGTGGTGTAGTGGCTGAACAAGGGACTGGTTCACTCGGATGCAGCCTACTTTCCCTGAGTGGGATATCAATGTTATGCTCCTATATGGTAAGTTATGGGATGTAGCACTATAAACAGGGCATTACTACGGACTGATAATAGATGCTCCAACACACGCCTACATGCACCTTGCTATGTACGTGCAGTACTTTTATACAACGCTTTACCCATTTGATCGCACATGATCTTTCGGGTCACCTACGAATGAGCAGTTGAGAACTCACCCGTTCTCCAGAGTTGTTGATCAGAGCCTCTCTCTCACTCTGGAGATAAATCATATGATCAATTGAAAACATTTTACCATTAATACGCATTCATGGCGATGACGAACATTCCTAAAAATGCGAGACCATTCTACTCTTAACTCGCCACGATATGGCTGAAATATTGCCGATGTGACGTTAAATATTAACTCGCTCGCTCGCTAACTCACTAACTCACTACCCTTAAATGTTGTAACACGTGTGAAGTAATTATGGCTGTTAAACCGTGTCCAGGTCGTCGCCGATTATCTCCGAAAAGAAGGCATACTGACGTTGGACTGTCCCTAGTCACGCTCCAAATAGAGGTTTACTCCCATTAGTTAGACATACAACAGTTAGACTATTGGGATGTCTGACAAATGGGAGGATACCAGAGCCCCATTATTTATTTACTATTTGTTGTTTGTGTACACAACCAAGAATATGTTCCAGGGACGATAGAATGTGCAATAGACCAGTATGGCCCATCTAGAGGCAGCATGAATGCAAATATGTGTGAATCAACATGTATGTCACCAAGAGGGGTATCGCCCAACCTGGTGGACACACCGGATACTGACATACATACTCAAAATATTTCTGCAGACATTATGGAAATTCACCTTCAGTATCAACATTCTTTTATCAACAGTCCAGTAATATCACGGCGGGGGACACCAGAAATGGGCTTCACACCTTGTACCCATGTGGGGATTCGAACCCGGGTCTTCGGCGTGACGAGCTAACGCTTTGACCATTGGACCCGTGAAGAGGCGACTAACGGGTTCGGGTAGTCAGGCTCGCTGACGTGGTTTACACATTCATTGTATCCCAATTGCGTAGATAGATGCTCATGCTGTTGATCACTGGATTGTCTGGTCCAGACTCGATTATTTACAGACCACCGTCATACAGCTTGAATATTGCTGAGTGCGGCATAAAACAACAAACCAACCATCCAACCAATGACTTTAACCACTTGGCTACCCCACCGCCCCGAAGTCATGCCATCTGCTGCTTAATGCTGTGTGCGTGATGTAAACTCACCGAATGCTGTTCACCATGCATGAGGTTCATGAACTGGACTGGCGAGTACACATCTGTGGGGCAACAACACACGTGAGTGGAAGTGAGAAAGTTTGGGTCTAGCACCACAGTATGAAATGTTACACTGACATCATTATATAAGCAAGCGTTGAACACACAACGCGGTTTTGACACATTGAGTTGGTAAGTGAGTATGGCTTCACGCCGCGTTTAGCAATATTTCAGCTATATCACAGCAGGGCTTTCACACATTGTATAAATGTTGGTAATCGCACCCGGGTCTTAAGAGTGACGAGCGGACTCTTCAACCATTGGGCTACCCCACCGCCTCTTGACACAATGAACACCGTTCAAGTTCACAGACATCAGATTGTCGATAGTCGGCGACACTATACTGGTCCAGAATATTCCCTGAACCCTGCCTCACCCGTGGCGAAAAAATGAATAATCGGATAAGGGAAGAACTGCAGAATACAATCACGGTGTGGCGGACATGTGATATATGATTTAATGATTTTGTTACTGAACTATGGGTTTACCTTCACGTCTCTCCCGTCTCCTCTTGGTCACCTTGGAGTACAGATCTGTAGGACACATATAACACGGTAACAGCAGTAGTTCAGATTCCCTTTTCTCAGGATTTGCATTTGATGTCAAAATAGAAACACATATTGTAGATATTTGTTGGAACAGTTTTGATTTCATACTTTTTGATCGTGTGCTATAATAGGCATTCTCGAAGTCTATGAGTAAAAGATGGTGATGATTTTAATTTGGGGGGGTGGGGTGGGTGTGTGTGTGTGTAATTGATATGGTACATGACATGCAGGGTAACATGAATTCCAGGGGGAGGGTCATACACATTGAACATGCTTCTCTATAGAAATCATCATCACACACACAGAAACCATAAATTATGAACGATCCCTTAAACAGAAGAAACAATACAAGACTCTGCATTACAACTTCCGGATTATTTCATTTAATGTACTTAACGTTTGATCCTAAGCTCCTACTGACCCAGAGACGAGGAGGTGCATAATGCTGTTATCGTATTGTGTTTTAGCAATTCCTGTCAGTCATGTGGTAATCTGAACAATACACACGTGTTGCATTACGTTGACATATTAATAATGGAAACCCCATCGCTTGTGTATGATAACTCAGGGAAGATGTATAACAACGTCCGTGTGTAACTACTGTATGTGAATACTATCCAGTCACTTTGCCCTATACAGAATAATGTGATCGTGCCCTGTCCTAACTCCGATATGTATATGCAATCATGTTCGATATATTGACGTTCTATATTCTAATACCCATGTGTGTCAACAATTAATAGTACACGTCAGCCGTTCCATGAGTGTTTCATCTGACGAAGGAACAAGAATCAGCCCTGAAATGTCCTACAAAGAATAACAAGAAGTTGTTATCCACAAAACGTCTTATGTAGTCAGAAACTCTTCGAATGACTATAAAACTATAAACTCCGGAGTATGCCCTCTTATGTTATAGGATGGGTTGTACAGTGATATCATGTCAGTGATATATGTCAGTGACATATCACTTGTATGGTTGAATCTTACTGGCATAATTATCCTAGAATGTTAGAAACTGTGTACCTTGGTAGATCCCAGCTAAAAATTACCTATTATCATGACCCTCTGGAAAGTATTTAGACGCATTCTCAAACGAAAGCTAGAAACGTCTTTTTTGACGGGATAGAACAGAAGTTGTTGCTAATTGGAAACATCCTGGTTTCAGAAATATAACAAAGTTTACGTTTAGCCAGCCGGGCGACATGGGCAGTATATGTACTTCTCCGGATGACACGTACCACCAGACCTAGCACTTACAGAGACTTCAGAGACATAGGGACATGAAAAACTTGATGTTACATAGACAATAACCGAACCTGGAACGTATACACCTATAACTACTATAATTAAAACTCTTGGCGATGGACTTCGCTTTACATAAAATGTACTGTTATTGCAAACTGTGACACTCACTCACTCACTCACTCACTCACTCATTTGTTGTAGTTCTATTAATCGATTCCGACTCTAGCTATATTTGTAGGACTAGATGTCGGTCTATTGATATGTATATCATTACTACAGATTTCCCAGAGAGAAGGCAGTACAGTTCAAGGAAACTGATAGTTGATCAAATAGGAAATAGGCTTAAGATGTATATGCACATATATTACCATAAATAACTTGTCAGTCTAACAAACAAGGAAATATTTATGAAATGAAAAGCAAAACATCTTTACATGAAAAAAGCAAGGTTGTTGGAGTTTGTCACGGAGTTACATGGACAGTGTTCACCTTTGGTGATTTACCATGGTACAGAGTAACTCACATGTTCATCTACCCAACTACCTCGACAATGTACCTTGTTACACCGTGTAACTGGTATGTCCATCAGACCATCTTCTTAGCCAATGTACCTTGTTACACCGTGTAACTGGTATGTCCATCAGACCATCTTCCTGGACAATGTACCTTGTTACACCGTGTAACTGGTATGTCCATCAGACCATCTTCTTGGCCAATGTACCATGTTACACCGTGTAACTGGTATGTCCATCAGACCATCTTCCTTGACAATGTACCTTGTTACACCGTGTAACTGGTATGTCCATCAGACCATCTTCCTTGACAATGTACCTTGTTACACCGTGTAACTGGTATGTCCATCAGACCATCTTCTGGGCCAATGTACCATGCTACACCGTGTAATTAGTATGTCCATCAGACCATCTTCCTAGAAAATGTACCATGTTACACCGTGTAACTGGTATGTCCATCAGAACATCTTCCTGGACAATGTACCTTGTTACAACGTGTAACTGGTATCTCCATCAGACTATCTTCTTGGCCAGTGTACCATGTTACACCGTGTATCTGGTATGTCCATCAAACCATCTTCCTGGACAATGTACCATGTTACACCCTGTAACTGGTATGTCCATCAGACCATCTTCCTGGACAATGTACCTTGTTACACTGTGTAACTGGTATGTCCATCAGACCATCTTCCTGACCAATGTACCTTGTTACACCGTGTAACTGGTATGTCCATCAGACCATCTTCTTGGCCAATGTACCATGTTACACCGTGTAACTGGTATGTCCATCAGACCATCTTCCTGGACAATGTACCATGTTACACCGTGTAACTGGTATGTCCATCAGGCCATCTTCTTGGCCAATGGACCATGTTACACCGTGTAACTAGTATGTACATCAGACCATCTTCCTGGACAATGTACCATGTTACAACGTGTAACTGGTATGTCCATCAGACCATCTTCCTGGACAATGTACCATGTTACAACGTGTAACTGGTATGTCCATCAGACCATCTTCCTGGACAATGTACCTTGTTACACCGTGTAACTGGTATGTCCATCAGACCATCATCCCGGACAATGTACCTTGTTACACCGTGTAACTGGTATGTCCATCAGAACATCTTCTTGGCCAATGTACCATGTTACACCCTGTAACTGGTATGTCCATCAGACCATCTTCTGGACAATGTTCCATGTTACACCGTGTAACTGGTATGTCCATCAGACCATCTTCCTGGACAATGTACCATGTTACACCGTGTAACTGGTATGTCCATCAGACCATCTTCCTGGACAATGTACCATGTTACACCGTGTAACTGGTATGTCCATCAGACCATCTTCTTGGACAATGTACCATGTTACACCGTGTAACTGGTATGTCCATCAGACCATCTTCCTGGACAATGTACCATGTTACACCGTGTAACTTGTATGTCCATCAGACCATCTATTTTGGCAATGTACCATGTTACACCATCTTCCTGGACAATGTACCAAGGTACAGAGTAACTGGTATGTCCATAAGACCATCTTCTTGGCCAATGTGCCATGTTACACCGTGTAACTGGTATGTCCATCAGACCATTTTCCTGGACAATGTACCTTGTTACACCGTGTAACTGGTATGTCCATCAGACCATCTTCTTTGCCAGTGTACCATGTTACACCGTGTATCTGGTATGTCCATCAGACCATCTTCCTGGACAATGTACCATGTTACACCGTGTAACTGGTATGTCCATCAGACCATCTTCCTGGACAATGTACCTTGTTACACCGTGTAACTGGTATGTCCATCTGACCATCTTCCTGGACAATGTACCTTGTTACACCGTGTAACTGGTATGTCCATCAGACCATCTTCTTGGCCAATGTATCATGTTACACCGTGTAACTGGTATGTCCATCCGACCGTCTTCCTGGCCAATGTACCATGTTACACCGTGTAACTGGTATGTCCATCAGGCCATTATCTTGGCCAACGTACCATGTTACACCGTGTAACTAGTATGTACATCAGACCATCTTCCTGGACAATGTACCATGTTACAACGTGTAACTGGTATGTCCATCAGACCATCTTCATGGACAATGTACCTTGTTACACCGTGTAACTGGTATGTACATCAGACCATCTTCTTAGACAATGTACCATGTTACACCGTGTATCTGGTATGTCCATCAGACCATCTTCTTGGCCAATGTACCATGTCACACCGTGTAACTGGTATGTCCATCAGACCATCTTCCTTGACAATGTACCATGTTACACCGTGTAACTGGTATGTCAATCAGACCATCTTCTTGGACAATGTACCATGTTACACCGTGTAACTGGTATGTCCATCAGACCATCTTCCTGGACAATGTACCATGTTACACCGTGTAACTTGTATGTCCATCAGACCATCTATTTTGGCAATGTACCATGTTACACCATCTTCCTGAACAATGTACCAAGGTACAGAGTAACTGGTATGTCCATAAGACAATTTTCCTGGACAATGCACCTTGTTACACCGTGTAACTGGTATGTCAATCAGACCATCTTCCTGGACAATGTACCATGTTACACCCTGTAACTGGTATGTTCATCAGACCATCTTCCTGGACAATGTACCTTGTTACACCGTGTAACTGGTATGTCCATCAGACCATCTTCTTGGCCAATGTATCATGTTACACCGTGTAACTGGTATGTCCATCAGACCATCTTCTTGGCCAATGTACCATGTTACACCGTGTAACTGGTATGACCATCTTCCTGGACAATGTACCATGTTACACCGTGTAACTGGTATGTCCATCAGGCCATCTTCTTGGCCAATGTACCATGTTACACCGTGTAACTTGTATGTCCATCAGACCATCTTCCTTGACAATGTACCTTGTTACACCGTGTAAGTGGTATGTCCATCAGACCATCTTCTTGGCCAATGTACCTTGTTACACCGTGTAACTGGTATGTCCATCAGACCATCTTCCTGGACAATGTACCATGTTACACCGTGTAACTGGTATGTCCATCAGGCCATTATCTTGGCCAACGTACCATGTTACACCGTGTAACTGGTATGTCCATCAGACCATCTTCCTGGACAATGTACCTTGTTACACCGTGTAACTGGTATGTCCATCAGACCATCTTCTTGGCCAATGTACCATGTCACACCGTGTAACTGGTATGTCCATCAGACCATCTTCCTTGACAATGTACCATGTTACACCGTGTAACTGGTATGTCAATCAGACCATCTTCTTGGACAATGTACCATGTTACACCGTGTAACTGGTATGTCCATCAGACCATCTTCCTGGACAATGTACCACGTTACACCGTGTAACTTGTATGTCCATCAGAACATCTATTTTGGCAATGTACCATGTTACACCATCTTCCTGGACAATGTACCAAGGTACAGAGTATCTGGTATGTCCATAAGACCATCTTCTTGGCCAATGTACCATGTTACACCGTGTAACTGGTATGTCCATCAGACCATCTTCCTGGACAATGTACCATGTTACACCGTGTAACTGGTATGTCCATCAGACCATCTTCTTTGCCAGTGTACCATGTTACACCCTGTGTCTGGTATGTCCATCAGACCATCTTCCTGGACAATGTACCTTGTTACACCGTGTAACTGGTATGTCCATCAGGCCATCTTCTTGGCCAATGTACCATGTTACACCGTGTAACTTGTATGTCCATCAGACCATCTTCCTTGACAATGTACCTTGTTACACCGTGTAACTGGTATGTACATCAGACCATCTTCTTGGCCAATGTACCTTGTTACACCGTGTAACTGGTATGTCCATCAGACCATCTTCCTGGACAATGTACCATGTTATACCGTGTAACTGGTATGTCCATCAGGCCATTATCTTGGCCAACGTACCATGTTACACCGTGAAACTAGTATGTACATCAGACCATCTTCCTTGACAATGTACCATATTACAACGTGTAACTGGTATGTCCATCAGACCATCTTCCTGGACAATGTACCTTGTTACACCGTGTAACTGGTATGTCCATCAGACCATCTTCTTGGCCAATGTACCATGTCACACCGTGTAACTGGTATGTCCATCAGACCATCTTCCTTGACAATGTACCATGTTACACCGTGTAACTTGTATGTCAATCAGACCATCTTCTTGGACAATGTACCATGTTACACCGTGTAACTGGTATGTCCATCAGACCATCTTCCTGGACAATGTACCACGTTACACCGTGTAACTTGTATGTCCATCAGAACATCTATTTTGGCAATGTACCATGTTACACCATCTTCCTGAACAATGTACCAAGGTACAGAGTATCTGGTATGTCCATCAGACCATCTTCTTGGCCAGTGTACCATGTTACACCGTGTATCTGGTATGTCCATCAGACCATCTTCCTGGACAATGTACCATGTTACACCGTGTAACTGTTATCTCCATGAGACCATCTTCCTGACCAATGTACCATGTTACACCGTGTAACTTGTATGTCCATTAGGCCATCTTCTTGGCCAATGTACCATGTTACACCGTGTAACTGGTATGTCCATCAGACCATCTTCCTGGACAATGTACCATGTTACACCATGTAACTGGAATGTCCATCAGACCATCTTCCTGGACAATGTACCATGTTACACCGTTTAACTGGTATGTCCATCAGACCATCTTCTTGGCCAAGGTACCATGTTACACCGTGTAACTGATATGTCTATCAGACTATCTTCCTGGACAATGTATACGATGTAACTGGAATGCTTAAGTACATTGAAACCGCCTCCGTGGTATAGTGGTTGGAGCGTCTGCCTGGAGAGCGGAAGTTCGCGGGTTCGCTTCATACCAAAAGACGTTAAAATATGGTACTTGTTGGTCCCTGCCTGGCGATCGGCAGTAGTGGGTACAAAGGACTGTTCGGCCCGGAGTCAGTATACTGCGCCTGAGTTGGGTATTCATGCTTCACTGCGGCATGGTATCTCAGTGAGCTAGCACTATAAAACCAGCTTAAGTCTCGGCTAGTACAAGCAGCCACACATACACACGCATGCACGTCGTCATATGAGCGAAATATTCTCAAGTACGTCGTTAAACCCCATTTCACCTCACCTCACGTACATTGATGAAGTACAATGCTGGACGGTGTAACAGCGGTTTACCGTAACAGCTTGGAGCAGCCACGGACGTTGACTATGTAACACAGTGTTACAGCTACAAACAACAGCCCACGCACTAATACAGTGTACCAAAAAGCTTGGGATTAACTACAAGTGCATGAAGCTGTCAGATTTAGCGTTGTCAGAGCAATAGTGTCTTTAGCTATGGTATGAAAGAGGCGGATGTTAAAACAAGGTTGGCAGATTTAGCGTTGTGAGAGCAATACTGTCTTTAGCTATGGTATGAAAGAGGCGGATGTTAAAACAAGGCTCACAGATTTAGCGTTGTCAGAGCAATACTGTCTTTAGCTATGGTATGAAAGAGGCGGATGTTAAAACAAGGCTCACAGATTTAGCGTTCTCGAAAGAATACGGTATTTAGCTATGGTCAGAAAGAGGCGGATGTTACAACAAGGCTGACAGACTTAGCGTTCTCGGAGGAATACGGTATTTAGCTATGGTATGAAAGAGACGGATGTTAAAACAAGGTTGGCAGATTTAGCGTTCTCGGAGCAATAAGGTATTTAGCTATGGTATGAAAGAGGCGGATGTTAAAACAAGGCTGACAGATTTAGAGTTGTCAGAGCAATACGGTATTTAGCTATGGTATGAAAGAGACGGATGTTAAAACAAGGCTTACAGATTTAGCGTTCTCGGAGCAATACGGTATTTAGCTATGGTATGAAAGAGGCGGATGTTAACACGAAGCGTAACATGAGAAGAAGAAAACTGAAGTAATATTGAAGAAAGAACGGAATCGAAACGATATGTTGTCACAGGTACTCGTTTCGTTTGGTGGAGTATCGGAGACTAAGCATTGCGCTGTATACTCACGGCTTGGGTCTTGCTGGGCCTGTTCTTCATTGTCAGCTTCAGCACTGCCGGAAATAAACATAATGTGTAACTGATGTGTAATTTAGTAGTGCTTAGAAAATGACATCAGATATAGCTGTGAACCTATTTGTCCATTAAGTCTGAGGTTGGCGATGGGGTGGGCCTGTGGTATAAGCATTTGTTCCAGATTTGACACCGTACACCCCATTTCTTGTGGTCCTTGTCCTGATATAGGGCGAGGACTCTCGGAGTAGTGAAAACCTACACACTCACTCACTCACTCACTCGCCCTGACGATGTACTTACCTGCACGGATGTTCTCCTGAAATGTACATGTCGCAGTAATCAGGTTAATTTCCACGTTTATGATCAACATTGAAATACGATGATTTTGATTTGAATTCTTGATTTTGTCAGTATATACCAGGTTAACTGGATGAATCACTGAAGGTTACTAAGCGTTTGGAGAATGGTTACAGAATCGGCTAATAAATAGTACGAGATATACGAAATTACGCAATATGTTATTTTGCAGCGAAGTAGTTAAGATAACGTGACATTGTATAAATGTTGATACTATGTTCAGTGTTCACGTCAGCTTGACATATTACTTTTCTTGGCTCTATGTCTGTGAAGACGGATTGCGATAGCGACAGCAACGACAACGGTGATGACAGAAAACACAGCAGCTGTAGCCAAGCTCATGGGGACGAGATGTTCTTCATCTGAAACACAAGAAAACCAAACAACTATTGTAAATACTGGTTCATATTGTACATGTCAGGAAACCGCCAATGTGATATACAGGTCACTACAAGCTCCGACATACGCCACAAGGAAGACTCGAACAATATTGAGGATCAAACAATGGGACAGGTTGTATCTTCCAGTTAAGTGTGGTACAGTTATCTAACAAACCGAGAAACATGCCCGTACTTTCCCCACCATTGCTCGAGATGTTTATTCAGTTGTGTTTTGTTAGTTACATCGTACATTAACAACAACAAGAACATCGTCGTGGTTGTCTACGTGGCCTACGGTGTCTTCATCTCGACGTTCTCGACTGTATGGGTGCTTTATAGCCTTTTACGTAGATTGACGAACTAGTATGAAGAAAGGGAGATTGGTTTTCAGGACAAATCTGAATTTCTTACTTGGTTTATCAAGCTTCAGATTCCTCGACTTATTCCCATGTGTGTTGTTGACGTGACAGATGTACTGTCCTGATCTGTCTACAGCTGGAACATACAACACAGCCTCCCTGTGTCCTGTAACCAGCCTCTGTGTGGATGTATTCCACCAGGTTACAGTACAGGCAGGGTTACAGTCAGTGGAACATCTCACTGTGAGAGGGGCACCTGCTGCAGCAGTCACTGTGCTGGTTGATCCATTGAACAAGATCTGCTCTGGTCCATCTGGAACGGATGTCAATTACATACAATCCTCGTGTTATAACAGTGAAGTATAACATGGCATACTGGCGTGTGACCAATACTTTACCTTTCGGAACAAATCTCGTGATCTTGCAAACGCGAGGGACTTCACTTACAGCCGCAATGCCTCATCATACTGAAGGAACTCTCTGGCATGCTTGTGTAATATTAGTAACAATACAGCCCAGCTACTATATGGATGACAACTTCTCTACTTTATCATGATGCAACGTGTAGGTATATGTTCTATACCGTTATCAAGCACCAAACGTTACATCATAATGTAATGAAGAAGTTGTCATCCATAAAGGATCTTGCCTTTAAACAGAAGGATCTAACAAACACGCCACTCTACTGCCTGTAATCAAATGGTAACAGAGGCCTTGAATGTTGCAAAATGCAAAATGCATCATATCAGTTTATTGAACTCAACTTTGGTGGGGGCTAAATTTTCATAAGCTTTATTCTGCTCACTGTCACAAGCTGTGAAATGTTCAACTCACACTGAACATCCAGGTCGTGTCCGTGACTCCAGTCAGACTCCAGCCCCTCCTCCACAGCCTGGCAGCTGTAGTTGCCGTCTTCCTCCTTGCTGATGTGTCTCATAGTGAGGTTCGGCACGGCTACATGAACATCTTCGCGTCCTTGAATCTTCTCACTGTTCCTCCTCCAGATGTAGGTCATGGTCAGAGGGTGGTCCGGGGGGAGACTCCGGGAGGAGGAGGAGCATGTCAGGGTGACACGCCCACCTGAGACAGCTGATGTAGGTCCAGTGATGTTCGGGGTTGAAGGTTTCTCTGTAATGACAGATAACATCAGCATTTAACCTGGGCAGATGTTCCAGATTAGGGAGTGTTCTCGAATAAATGAGTAAGAGAATGATTATGGGTTTACGCCGCGGTTAGCAATATTCCAGCAATATCATGGCGGGGGACACCAGAAATGGGCTTCACACAATGTAACCACATGGGGAATCGAACCCGGGTCTTCGGCGTGATACGCAAACGCGTTAACCTCCAGGCTACCCCACTACCCCGTGTCCTGTCAGGGCAGATGTCTCCTTTCTGTATTTTCAAAAAGAAAACATAAAATCCCATGACAGTTTGTACCATCAATGGTATTGAGAAGCGACACTATTACAGTCGCGTCCTCCCGGCAGACACTGTCGTTAAAACACATCTACAAGCCATGGGCGAGGCCAGCTGTTGTAAATATGACAGCGGTGCTATAAGACACTTGGCATAGTATGGAACTTTGTCGGATCCCTATCGTTACTGCATACTTTGATGAAACACACAATGTTCTGTAAAACCATGTTCATTTATTATATATTTACCGGCGGCCGCAATTCATTAAATAATTCATTGACAAGATGTACCCGTGAGATAGGTCGGGGTAGGATAGGTCTAACATGCTAATTCATAAAGGCGACTATGCTTGTCGTACAGATGCGACTAACGGGATCGAATTGGTCAGTGTCGCTGACTTGGTTGACAGTGGTGTGAATCGGTTTCCCGCGCAGATCGATGCTCATGCTGCGATCACTGGATTGTCACGTCCAGACTCGATTACAGACCGCCATACGCTGAATATTTGCTGGAGTGCGGCAGTAAAGGCCGTCACTCCACGTCACTCATTAAATAGATATTGGCACAGATAATGTCGAGGTTACAAGTCAATACAGTTTGAGTCATCTAAGTACTGGGGAGAGATAGGCTCCATTTATGATGGAAATTATTTATTTTATCATTTTCTAACTGATATATGTTTTCCACAAAGAATAGGCTCTGTTAAAGTTTTTACTTATATAGAAAGTTAGATTTAGGAGCATATTTTTAATACAGCATAAGTAAATATGTCTCTTTGCAGCAATGATGATGTGATTTAGTAATCTATTTTTCATATTGAGTATGCCAAGCCAAATCATGTTTTGATAATTTTCAATGGATGTTGAGTAATAATTGATACCAATGATGTATGGGGTTTACATCCAAGTGTTTACGAAAATGTCAACATTTTTGGGAACGCTGGCCGCGTAGTTGGTCACGGTGCGGCCTTGAATTATAATCATTGAGGCGTCTTTGGATCCTATCGCAAATGCTCAATGGATTGAAGTCTGAGGCTTAGGGCTGGCTGGTATGGAACACGTGTAAAGTATACGGTGGAGTCTGGCGGTACATCCTTAACTGGAAAACGCAATGACGCCGATGACGTGTAAAACGGCGCAACATGGTGTCGTAGGACTTGAGGAGTCGATGTACCGGGCAGCTGTCACACCATTCCTTTTTCTTGGACCAACGTTGGAAGATTACAGGCCCGGTTTTTCTGGTTTGAGTCGATTCCACCCCATACCATGAAATGCTCCAGACCATCCCAAGCGTTTCTCTCATCGCTTTGCCTCATCATTAGGCGTTCTCCTCTGCGACGCCAGACCCTGAATCTTCCCATCGGTCACGGGTATCAGCAGCTGCGACTTTCATCGGAGAGGATAACCGGTTTCTCACCATATCACAGTGCCAGTGTTGTCGCTTCTACTTCCGTACCCCGAATGTAGACGTTCGCGGCGGTGACGTTGCGTTAACACTGGACCCAGGGCAGGACGTATACAGCACAGGTTGCTGGCGTGGATGCGTCGCGCCGAACAATGCAGTCACTGGGTTCTCTTTGGTGGCCAATGGTGTTTCGAGCTGTCTCTATTGCCCTGTTGAACCTTGCGGTCTCTGCAGGTGGTGACGGACGATATATGACGGTATTGGCGGGTGGTTACCCGAGGACGACCACGACGTGGACGGTCATTTGTTCTGTTGGTGGTGTTGAACCGCTGTCAGAGACTTCAATTGTTCTTACAGAACAATTCAGTCATTGGCGATGACACTAGCACGTTGACCTGCGTGGAGACGTCCGATGGCCCTGTTGACGGTGATCCCTTTGTCAACCTCGGCATAGCTAAGCTGTAGTCAGAAACGACTGGAAGGATCGGTAGTCAAGTTGGGAATTTATACCTGTATGCACACGAGATGCACGCAGTGTGCTCTCTCAATGTGTTGCGTTTGCTTGAGCTGTTCCCTTGTCCAAAAACGGTGAATTTTTTAAAACCATCTAAAAAGTTGGTGTGGTTGTACAAACTTATCATGTAGTCTTCGAATCATGTTTTTCAAATGTTGTTTTTTAGTCATCAAGTGACAAACTAGTTAAATCAAAATGCATCATTGGTAAATTCTCAAATCCATAATCTGAAAAATACGACGTTTCGTTTGCCTTTTTAGTATATATGAACATTTTGTAACTAGTTTTGTTGCATTAATCACCATGGCAAACACTACCAAATTGACAAATCAGAATGCAAGAATAGCCTTTGGGTTCTGTGCTCCAACATGGCAGCCCCTCATGCTGCAACAAGTTTTATCTGTTGTGTTATAGTAGTATGTTTGAACATATGGACGTGGATAGATCCGATCTTGTTTAGAGAGAGGAAAATAAAAAGTATAATAAAAATATCTCTCGGATCAGTGTTGGCATGTATGTTCCGCTTATAGCGGTTCATTTTCAAAATGAATACAACAAAGGTCCCAGGACGGAATGACAGTTAGTCTCTTCTGAACTGATGATGTATTTGTGGAATGACTGAGGCCATGGCCTAAGTTATTGTATGTGGCTTATGAGTGCCAGCTTTACAGTAATCCGTCAGTGTATGAACACTTCATGTGGTAATACAAAACCACACAAAGTGACAGCCCTGGGTATGCTCCAACTGGTGTTGATATTTACACATGGTACTATGTTGGCAAGTACATCACAGAAACCCAAAGACAGGAGACGTAACACATGCATGACAAATAAAATGTCTATTCTCATACTCGTGTACGCATGCTGCACCAAATATAACTCACGTGCCACAACGAGAAGCTGTTCACAGCCAGGTATCCCCCCTTGTATGCGTCAAACGGCAGACATTCGTAGAGCCCCTGCGTCCTCTGTAGTGACTTTATACAGTGTAAACCTGAACTCTGATGGGGTGATGTTCACTGGGATCTCTGGCTCCGTACCATGTATGGCTGGTTTTCACGATTGTAAAGCTCAGTGTCAGTTTTAAAGAAAGAGATATCCTGTATCATTATTAACTTCCACGCCGACTTTAAACTCTTGTCCAGCCTGGGATATGTTGAGGGAGATGGTCACGTTATGACCAAACACGCGTAACAATGTAATCAGATCCTGTCGTGACAGACAAAGAGACCTGCAAATATAACATTATTGTCAATATACATCCACACAATACTGCACATGCACATAAAACATTATTGTCAATATACGTTCACACAATACTGCACAGATAAAACATTATTGTCAATATACGTGCACACACAATACTGCACACATAAAACATTATTGTCAATATGCGTCCACACAATACGTGCACACATTAAACATTATTGTCAATATACGTCTACATAATACTGCACACATAAAACATTATTGTCAATATACGTTCACACAATACTGCACACATAAAACATTATTGTCAATATACGTCCACAATACTGTACACATAAAACATTAATGTCAATATACGTCCACACAATACTGCACATAAAACATTATTGTCAATATACGTCCACACAATACTGCACACATAAAACATTATTGTCAATATACGTTCACATAATACTGCACACATAAAACATTATTGTCAATATACGTTCACACAATACTGCACACATAAAACATTATTGTCAATATACGTCCACACAATACTGCACACATAAAACATTATTGTCAATATACGTTCACATAATACTGCATACATAAAACATTATTGTCAATATACGTTCACATAATACTGCACACATAAAAACATTATTGTCAATATACGTCCACACAATACTGCATACATAAAACATTATTGTCAATATACGTCCACACAATACTGCACACATAAAACATTATTGTCAATATACGTCCACCAAACTGCACACATAAAACATTATTGTCAATATACGTTCACATAATACTGCACACATAAAACATTATTGTCAATATACGTTCACATAATACTGCACACATAAAACATTATTGTCAATATACGTTCACACAATACTGCACACATAAAACATTATTGTCAATATACGTCCACACATATCCATACTGCACACATAAAACATTATTGTCAATATACGTTCACATAATCCACTGCATACATAAAAACATTATTGTCAATATACGTTCACATAATACTGCACACATAAAACATTATTGTCAATATACGTCCACAATGCTGCATACATAAAACATTATTGTCAATATACGTCCACACAATACTGCATACATAAAACATTATTGTCAATATACGTTCACATAATACTGCACACATAAAACATTATTGTCAATATACGTTCACACAATACTGCACACATAAAACATTATTGTCAATATACGTTCACATAATACTGCATACATAAAACATTATTGTCAATATACGTTCACACAATACTGCACACATAAAACATTATTGTCAATATACGTTCACATAATACTGCACACATAAAACATTATTGTCAATATACGTTCACACAATACTGCACACATAAAACATTATTGTCAATATACGTCCACACAATACTGCACACATAAACATTATTGTCAATATACGTTCACACAATACCGCACACATAAAACATTATTGTCAATATACGTCCACACAATACTGCACACATACAATAATCAAACATTCAGCGTGTTGTGTATGCAATAAATTGCTAAAATTAATTTGAATAAACGTGTGTAAGAAATGTTGGTATCAATATCGAGTAGAAATACATACCAAAACAAGTAGTGCCCCCAGAAACAAGATCTACCACGCCACACATGACTGTAACTCATTGCCTAGTGGTGAGCAGCCAGGGTCCAACTGCCTAAAATATCATGGGTTTCACTTGCTGTTGTCACCAACACGAGTTGCACATAATCATACTTCCGTGTACAGATATCACTTGAGACTTTCACCTTCCTACATACACCGCAAAGCCAGACGTTATGTGAACATTCAGCTACAAAAGGACATTGTGTCATTACAGAAAGGACATTTAAAATAGAGTTAGTAGTTTTGAGTTCAATCTCTTTCAAAATCGCTGATGTTTATAGAAGGATAAGAATATATGGTTGATCAAACAAATGATGATAACGGTGTTTGAACTTACACCAAGAGGTCCTCTGTGGTCAGAGTTCAGGCTTACGCTGTATGACGTCACTACAGAGGACTCAGGTCTCTACGAATGTCAGAGGTTTGACACAAACCAGGGGATACCTGGCTGTGACCAGCTTTTGTTGTGGCGTTTCGGTGTAGGTTTTAAAAGGATTGATATATTTGCCTGGACCTGTTGTATAAGTGAGTTACGACTGTAGACATGTTGACTGAGTGTAGTCAGACAGGGAACCCGCCCTGTTCCCTCTAAGTATTTTAAATCGTTGTTGTACTACTGAAATGTGATCTGCTATATTGGGTTCGAATCTATGTTTCAGCATTATTATATTTACTCAACAGAAAATCTTACACTGCCTTCATTGATCCTGTTGAATATTTAAAAGGGATAATGTTCCCTCCCCGAAATATGAAGCTGCAGAGGCAACACGACTGAATGGTTTTATCTGAAGTTAAGTGTCGCTTCGAGTCCTAAATGACCCCACGCTTGTGGTAAGAGGCAACTAACGGGATCGGGCGGTCAGGCTCGCTGACTTGTTTGACACGTCATTGTATCCAAATTGCGTAGATTGATGCTCATGTTGTTGATCAGGACCGCCTCCGTGGTGTAGTGGTTAGAGCGTCCGCCCGGAGAGCGGAAGGTCGCGGGTTCGATCCCCGACCGCGTCATACCAAAAGACGTTAAAATATGGTACTTGTTGGTCCCTGCCTGGCGCTCGGCATTAATGGTACAACAAGGACTGGTCGGCTCGGAGTCAGTATAATGTGTCTGAGTGGGGTATTCATGCTTCACTGCGGCATGGTATCTCAGTGGGCTAGCACTATAAAACCAGCTTAAGTCTGGGCTAGTACCAGCAGCCGCACATACACATACACACGCATGCACGTCGTCATATGAGCGAAATATTCTCAAGCACGACGTTAAACCCAATTTCACCTCACCTCACCTCTCCATCATGATATCGCTGGAAGCGGCGTCAAACTGTACTCACTCATTCATCATTACCGAACCTTTTCCCATAAATGGCAAGGTAAGGTATTGTGATCATCTCTGTGTGTGTAAGGTCATGTCTGTGCCACGAACCCTCAATCCGCCGTTCACATGTGGAACAGGGGGCGATAGGGGTAGCCCTGGAAAGTGGTTAAAGCGTTGGCCTCGTCGCGCCGAAGACCCGAGTTCGAATCCCCACATGGGTACAATGAATGTGAAGCCCATTTTGGTGTCCCCGCCGTGATGTTGCTGGAATATTGGTACAAGCGGCGTAAAACCAAACTCACTAAGTCAGTCAGTCCAGTCACATGGGCGGGAACCAGATTTCGTCCGACCAATGTGGTTCTCGGCTTGGTTCTCAGATTCCAAACCCGTTGTGTGTGATAACTAACCATGGCCTATAATGATTAACTGTAGCCTGTACGTACATTATCAGGTACGTACATTATCAGGTACGTACATTATACCCATATATTCTCAGTGTAGTCAACAGGTATTAGATGCTGATGTAATTACCCATGGCCAGATGCTGCGGAAGGTAGACGGGTAGGCCAAAGATGGAGAATGTCGGCTGGATTTGATTTAAATCTCCGGCTTGCATTGTGGATGTCAGTGTGGACACACCACCACATACGGTGGCAGCCGTAACTGCA